TCCTGATGCTCAAGTTTTTTCCCAGAGCAATTACATCAGAATCACCAAGCATAGTACCCAACTATTTGTAATTTTTGAAGCTCCCCTGATGATGGACACATGCAGTTAAATTTGAGGCTGCTGATCTGCAGATAACACTTGGTATCTTTCTGCATGCTCTCTAGTACATAATTGTGCAGCCCAATACCAGGATACTGCCTGAGAGCTACGTAGGCCAATCATGACTGCCCACATTGATGGAGCATAAAATTGAGGCTATATCTGGGGCTACAGGACATACTGACTCCTTCAGGTTGATCTTCACATTTATTTCTAAAATAGTAATGTAGTTGTCATTGTCCAAATGTACAAAGACAAAGACGGTCAAAGTAGTGAGTCAAAGGAGCTGTGCATTCAAGGAAGATACAGACCCAGAGGCGGGTGACAGCAGAGCTTGTACTGGCTGCACTGTGAATTCTCCTGCACTGGAAGCGTCATAGAAGCAAACATAGAAGAACCACCAACTCTGCACCTGCTTTCCACACCTACTACGCGGTGGTGTATTCCGAAGTGCAGCAAGGGTGAACAGTTCTGGCCCTGCGCTCTCCATCACCTTCAGCTGCCCACTTCGGAGACTCAGCGCAGCACGTGGCCCAAGGAACACAAATGTGTGTGCTCCAATGAGTAAGTCAGGCTGAGAGGATGAGAAATTGGCTCTGTCTTCCCTTTCTCCCATTCTCCACTCATAGCAACAATCCATGTTGAAAACGAGAGGGAAGGCGGTCAGAGATACTGGATGGGGAAAACACCAGGGGACTGGTAAGGTGCACTGGCACGGGCTTCTGGCAATTTGAGTTGCTTTCATACAAGTGTGACTATTTCAGATACTGAAGAATGGTTTATTCTTTTAATCAAAATATATGGAATTTTAAAAAGGTCTCATTACAATGAGTAGCCCAACTGTTTCCAGGGAAATGATTGTGATCTGAGGGCTTTGAGATAATTGGTATTCGGGAAGCTAAGGGCAGATGGTTTGCTTTCTCTGAGGGAAACTAGTTCCGACCACTGCCATTCTGCAAAGTGTGAGCGGGACAGATCGGCATCGGTGTTCCCCTCATTTGGCTTGATGGCACATTTTTTAGAGCTGTGCATTTGACTTGAGTAACATAAAAATTGAAAGGGCATTCTTGTTTGTTTTCTCAGAAACATGGATTCATATTTTCTGAACAAACTGTAAAACTCTTTGTTTTAAAGGAGTACATAAAATGTTCACTGGCACATTCAGATCTTTTGAAAATGTATCTCATAGGCAGGGGTAGGGTGGGGCAAAGTAAAGCAAGGAAGAGAGGGAGAAGAGAAAACACTTAGAAAGAGGAAGAAAGGGGAATGGGAAGAAATGAGACAAGAATTGAGTGAGAGAAGGAGAGGAGTAAAGAAGTGAAGAAATAGACATGGGGTTAGAGAGGTTGGAAAAGGGGAAGGAAGAGGCCAGGAGAAGAAGGAAAGGGGAGAAAAAAGAACCAAACAGGTAAGCAAGAGAAATAATAAAAAAAAGCAATGCAGTGGAGACTCCAGAGCCTGGCAATTTGCTGTCAAGTGCTACTCCTGTTAGACATGCTGCAGAGCTTCGCCCCGAAGGTTAATGATGGCAGTAATCACGATTCCAATTTACAGCGAATAGGATGAAAAGCAGCCAGCCTTCAGAGGAGAGACCCTACAGTGATGGCCCTGGAATAATAACACAGCAGGAGCTGAGGAACTTAGGGATGCTGGGAGGTTAGAGTAAGTAACCCTTTATTCCACAACCATTCTGTAGCCAATGATGTATAATCCAGTATTGAAAGAAAAAAGGAAATAGTTTGCTTATCACAAGATCCCTAAGTTACAGCAAGGATGTTTAGTTGTTCCTAAATGTTTGAAATGAGCTCCTTACAGCTTTATTCTGTGATTGTCCTTGCGTTAGAACTGACTTCGGGGCAAGGCTTGGTCATGTTTACCTTTCTTCTTTCTCAATGCCTGCTCTTCTGTGTTTTCCAATGGCCTGTGGTCAGTGCAGCTGTTTTGGTCCAAGGATGTTAACTATTGTAGAATGAGCACAACCGATCATTCTGTAACGAGATGTCAAGTGTCTTTGTTTTTCCCACGTTTATTTGCATGCATCATCTCGGCAGATTAAGTACCAAGATGATTCCTTTTAATCAGAGTCCTGTGGGTATGGTGGGTGCCCTGCTCCTCCAGCCCAGGCTCTTCCTCAAAGGCCTTGTGAATGGCCAAGGTTTGGAAGAGCAGGAGTCCACTTTGAGATTATGTAAGCATACAAATTTCCAACGATGAATGTCATTATACTGCATACCTTACACGTACCAATGAAATGAATTTAAAAAAATATACATCGATTATAGCAGGGCTCTAAATTTCCTTGAAAGGTCTCCAGGCAGCTTTATCTGATGACTAGCTTAACTTTTGCTTTTTTCCTAATAATGAGCCTCATAAAACTGAAAGGAAATAAATCTTAAAGAATGAAGGTGCCACTGAGGGATGCATGGGAAGCGGGACTTGCTCAAAAACAATAACAAACATTTTAAACTTGCCCCAGATCAAAATGGCTCTAGGTGTATTTTAAAAATACATTTACATTTTCCTAGTTGTGTGATTTCTGGCTTTTGGTTAAAACTTAAGACAGAGCATATACCAAGTATTCAGAATAAGGGTACATCTGACAGGTTCCTGGGATTCGCTCCTGGGCTACCACTCTCTGTGAAGAGGATCTACCCAGGGATGAAGTCATACGCATATCTGGATCTCAGAAAACCAGACTCAGTGACTCGTGCTTTAAATTCATTGACAGACTGGTCTCCTGCAGACAATAAAACTTACAGTAATTTTTCTCCAAGGCCAGAATGAAATTAATCGATAGGGCACAATCTGTAAGTGAAGCATGAGATTATAGCTAAGAAATGAAGAGACAACTGGAGATTATTGGAGTGAGGTCATCAAGCTAAAAGAGAAAAAGAATCTAACAAGTTAAGAACCAAATTGAATAAACCCTTATTGTGCACCCATTGTTGTTCGAGGGCCAACTCCACTGTACCGGCGCTGGTGCACCTAAGTGAGCCCCAATCCAAACGGATGCTGGTTGTCTTAAGACCTAGGGTGCACCAGTAAGCAATGGCCATCTGGTGGGACTCTCTGAGCAGGGTACACTTCCCACTTCCCTCTCACTTTTCCGCACTCCTCTGAGAATTGCTTGAGGTAAAGTCAAAAAGAAAGTTCTTACATTCTTAAATCCTCTGTAGAGAATCTGAAGCTCTTTCTTGGTAAATTTGCTCTGGGCTTCCAGCAGCTCCAGGGCTTCAGGCCGATGCCTGACGGTGGCCATCTCCAGCTCATCTTCCACGCTGTCTGTGGAGGAGAAGCAGAAAGAGTCTCAGAACCCGCCGCTGCTCACCGACGCTTATAATGAGCAACACAGGAGAAGGGAAAGACATGTTTGCCAGACGTCTGTGATTTCTCCCCAGAGGAAGGATCCTCGGGCTGTCAATAATGGTCTGTACATTTCTCAGATTTAATACTACGAAGCCAAGGCAATTCTGGAGAATTTGTTTTTGCACATTCTGCTCATTAAGAGGGACATCGCAATTCTAGTACTTTTACAGTTCAGTATAAAAGGTATCAAAAATCACCAAGAAGTCAACCTGGAATTTGTGTTCATGTACAAAGTACTACTTATAAAATGGAGCTGTTGTTTAATAACAGCAAGAAGCCCTGCATGTGTCATAGAACTTCCATAGAGAACTCTGCCAGTGCTCTCCTAGGTTGCCTTTGAAATCAGACATTTCACCGGGAGTTGCAAAGAAAATGTTCAGATAAGGTGCAGATCAAAGTAAGCAGCTTGCTGCTCCAGGCTGGACTGCTGTATTTGTAAAAGATGATTCCTTTTAATCAGAGTCCTGTGGGTATGGTGGGTGCCCTGCTCCTCCAGCCCAGGCTCTTCCTCAAAGGCCTTGTGAATGGCCAAGGTTTGGAAGAGCAGGAGTCCACTTTGAGATTATGTAAGCATACAAATTTCCAACGATGAATGTCATTATACTGCATACCTTACACGTACCAATGAAATGAATTTAAAAAAATATACATCGATTATAGCAGGGCTCTAAATTTCCTTGAAAGGTCTCCAGGCAGCTTTATCTGATGACTAGCTTAACTTTTGCTTTTTTCCTAATAATGAGCCTCATAAAACTGAAAGGAAATAAATCTTAAAGAATGAAGGTGCCACTGAGGGATGCATGGGAAGCGGGACTTGCTCAAAAACAATAACAAACATTTTAAACTTGCCCCAGATCAAAATGGCTCTAGGTGTATTTTAAAAATACATTTACATTTTCCTAGTTGTGTGATTTCTGGCTTTTGGTTAAAACTTAAGACAGAGCATATACCAAGTATTCAGAATAAGGGTACATCTGACAGGTTCCTGGGATTCGCTCCTGGGCTACCACTCTCTGTGAAGAGGATCTACCCAGGGATGAAGTCATACGCATATCTGGATCTCAGAAAACCAGACTCAGTGACTCGTGCTTTAAATTCATTGACAGACTGGTCTCCTGCAGACAATAAAACTTACAGTAATTTTTCTCCAAGGCCAGAATGAAATTAATCGATAGGGCACAATCTGTAAGTGAAGCATGAGATTATAGCTAAGAAATGAAGAGACAACTGGAGATTATTGGAGTGAGGTCATCAAGCTAAAAGAGAAAAAGAATCTAACAAGTTAAGAACCAAATTGAATAAACCCTTATTGTGCACCCATTGTTGTTCGAGGGCCAACTCCACTGTACCGGCGCTGGTGCACCTAAGTGAGCCCCAATCCAAACGGATGCTGGTTGTCTTAAGACCTAGGGTGCACCAGTAAGCAATGGCCATCTGGTGGGACTCTCTGAGCAGGGTACACTTCCCACTTCCCTCTCACTTTTCCGCACTCCTCTGAGAATTGCTTGAGGTAAAGTCAAAAAGAAAGTTCTTACATTCTTAAATCCTCTGTAGAGAATCTGAAGCTCTTTCTTGGTAAATTTGCTCTGGGCTTCCAGCAGCTCCAGGGCTTCAGGCCGATGCCTGACGGTGGCCATCTCCAGCTCATCTTCCACGCTGTCTGTGGAGGAGAAGCAGAAAGAGTCTCAGAACCCGCCGCTGCTCACCGACGCTTATAATGAGCAACACAGGAGAAGGGAAAGACATGTTTGCCAGACGTCTGTGATTTCTCCCCAGAGGAAGGATCCTCGGGCTGTCAATAATGGTCTGTACATTTCTCAGATTTAATACTACGAAGCCAAGGCAATTCTGGAGAATTTGTTTTTGCACATTCTGCTCATTAAGAGGGACATCGCAATTCTAGTACTTTTACAGTTCAGTATAAAAGGTATCAAAAATCACCAAGAAGTCAACCTGGAATTTGTGTTCATGTACAAAGTACTACTTATAAAATGGAGCTGTTGTTTAATAACAGCAAGAAGCCCTGCATGTGTCATAGAACTTCCATAGAGAACTCTGCCAGTGCTCTCCTAGGTTGCCTTTGAAATCAGACATTTCACCGGGAGTTGCAAAGAAAATGTTCAGATAAGGTGCAGATCAAAGTAAGCAGCTTGCTGCTCCAGGCTGGACTGCTGTACACCTAGTACCGCAGGCGCACACTGGAAGATTAGGGCCTCTTGTGTTAGTTCTATTTTACAGCCAAGAGAGTCTGTAGTTATAGGTAGGTTTTGATATATTTTACTTTGCTTTGTGAGTTACATTTAAACTATTATTTCTCAAAGATGCTCTTTGCAAAAAGAATTTTGTGCCTAGATGTTTGGGTGATGCTATAAACTTTAATGTAATTTTGGTAAAAAAAAGTATTAGAATATATATCTTTTATTTTATTTTTTAATTTATTTTTGTCAGTACCAGGGATCAAACTCAGAACCTTGTGTTTGCCAGGCAGGCACGGCGCTACTGAGCTCCATGTCCGGCCTTTGGAATACACACATTTTGAGGAGACCTATGACAAAGAATCCATTTTAACTTTGCTTACTACAACTCATCCCAAAGATATTTGTCCATAGAACCTTTTTCTTCCCCCAAATAACCTGGTAATATCCACACATTTGCCATAGGGCTTTCTCAGCCTAAATTTAGAGGCGGTATGGATATGTTACAATCTGAGTATTTATGTCTCAAAGAAGAGCACCATTCAGTCCCATGTAGCTGCAGTGAGGTAAGATTAAGTCCTAAATCACTACTTCCAGTGGTAATCCACTGGAATCCCATCTGGGGCTATGGCTTTCCTCCATTTACATCCCTTCCTCTTGGCCAAAGATTCTAGTCTCAGAGAAGGAGGCTAAGGAGAAAAGTCATTTGTCAGCACCTTTAACCACAAGGCCATGAGTGCCTTTAACCACTTTGTCCCATGGGCCAATTGGAAATGTGTCTATTTTCCCAAAGTTGTATCATTTGTAACAGGAACACCACCACCTCCTAATGTTTGTTCCTACCTGCTGGCCTCCTGCACGGAAAGCCTCCTTGAGGTCAAAACTTTCACTCAGCAGGGAAATGATCAGAGGAACCGTAATATTGGCAAGCCTAATTACTGCTCTCAAATAGTTTACAAAACACCAATAACGGTGATCAAATAATTACTTGGAATGCTGGTATTTCTCCAAATGAGCAACAAGAGATAAAAGCAAACATTAACTTTGAACTTTTTATGTTACAATAATTTATTTCAAAATAGTGACAGAAAAGCCTCAGAGTAGTGTTGAATAGGTAAGAACAAAACAAAAGAAATGAAAGGATGGGAAGGCTATGAATAAAGTCTGAGCTAACAAGGATAAAACTAATGAGGAAGTAAGTAAGATGATCACCTAAAGTAATGGAAAGAGCTAAAAATATAACAGAAAAGGCTGCTAGGAACTAACACACTGGCCTTAAACTGGTCTTTATAGAGAAAAATCAAGTAAACCGCAGTAGGGCTATTCCAGTGTTCTCGTTCATTCATCTGAATAAATGGGTTGATTTTGCTCAGTGGGTCCTGAGATAGGATGAGGGGAAATGTCACTCCCTAAGATTGCTGTGGATCCAAAAGTCTGAAATATTTTGTATTATGATATTTGCCAACACAGAAATAAATGCCATGAAATGGATCTAAGGTAAGTAGATAACATCAAATAGGTTTTACTTTCTTGAAAAAATGTCCTATGTAAATTTCTTTTGAATCATTTATAGAACAATTCCTTTAATCTAAAATATTGCTTTTTCCTTTTATTTTTTATCATTAAGTTTAATAGTACCTTTTAGGTATACCATACAGTTACATTCATCATTGGGATCTTGTACCTTTATGTGATGTATCTTGGTTTTTATTTTTCCCCATTCCCCTGCCCTCCCTTCATCCCCTCTTCCCTTCCCTATTTATAAAGATTTTTGTTTCCACTTCTGCTCTTCTCATATTTTTCCTTTTCCCTTCTTTCCTTTTCTGCTGTGTAAAATGGACAGATTCTTCACGATCCAATTCAATTATCAGTGTTTTCTTTCTGGAGCCCCCCAGGAGGCAGAACTGGAGACTCCCCTGCAGCCCCTTTTATTTAGCACACAGAACACATCATTATGAACTGTTCATGTTTGTCTTTGCCATTGTGAGTTTCCGGAAGACGACCAAAATCTTAGTATGTGTGTATATCCTCCGTACCTGTCTCTGATGCCCTGTAGGCACGAGTTATTTGATAAATGAAGGAGTAAATGAATAAACAAATAATACTGATGCTCAATTTTCCATTTCTCTGGAGCTCTTCAAACCTAAACTTTTCTTCTTAGGAATATTTTCAAACTGAGCTTTGTGGGCTGTTGTTGGACCTTAAATGCCTTCTTTCAGAATCACCATGTTCCCTATTCACTGTTCCAAGAAATAAAGTACAGGCAAAAGTAGAGGAAATTTTAATCAGATTTTCTGAGCAGTCTTTCAATCACAACATGACCTTGTCTAGACCCAGTGACCCTTTCTCTGGCAAGAAACAAAATAGCACATTAACCTCTTGGCCTTCATACCACACAGCAAGTCTGAGCCCTACTACAGACTTTCTGTACAAAGTTTCTTCCTCCAGCTGTCTCAGACTTGCAGATGCTAAGTCTGAGACAAAAGGCCTTCAAGGCTGAAGGGTCAGTATAATTGAATTAAGTGTGTGCAATAGGATGAACATTGCATGCAATATTCAAAAGGCTCCACGTTGAAGTGTCTGCCTGTGGGCTTTCTTGTTTTCCTGGCTGACTGGTACTTTACTTCTTAATGACTTTTACCTGCCAAAGGGCTATTTCTATTTCCAGGAGGCTGACGAGCTTTAACAACATACCTGGAATCATAAGCAATCACCAGCATATGATAAGTTTAACAAGGAACACCCCCGAACCCAATCAAGTCTGAATACGGGGTGGGGGGAGCATGGTGTGGAGCTCGTTGTGATTCTGCACAGGACGGTGGATTCTCCTTGTGGCTCAGCCAACATAGGTCAGTGTGCATTTTGGGGGATTTTAATATAGTACCTCACATTTACTGAACTCCTGTTATATGCCAGGAGGTTAATATGCCTTATCAACATAATCCTGATCTTTATAATAACCTTCCCAATAAGGTAGAATTATCCATTTTTTACTTGGTTGAGACTAAATATCAAAGAAGTGAAGAAATTCATGGCCAGATGTAGCATACAAGGAAATACAGAGACTTAATTTATACCCAATCTTTGAAGTCACACCTTATACTGTTTCTACCTGGCCACATGCTTTTTTTTTTTTAGTGAGTTTATTGGTGCAATCAAGGTATACAATACAATTTACATTCATCATTGGGATTCTGTACCTTTACATAATAGGTCTTGATTCTCATTTTTTCCCCTTGTCCCTGCCCTCCCTTCACCCCCTCCTCCCCTCCCCATTTAC